GTGTGTGTGTGTGTGTGTGTGTGTGTGAAAGAGAGGCGATTGAAATGCCAAAGAGGGCTTGCCGACAGCTGACCCAGAAATAACTAAAAGCAGGCCCATGTTCATAGGGAAGGAAATGATTTCATTGAAGTGGGAAGAATGTTGAGTGTTAATTTCACAGATTAGAATTGTTGATGAGTAAACTAATGTTACCCACGCAGCACACTTAGGAAAAGCGGTCGTGTGAAACGGTAGTATATGCAAATTCCGTTGTGCGTGCGCGTACATCTTTATGATTTGTTGAAGAAACACCACTCACTGCAAAACAACAGTCTAAATATATTTTCATAATACTATATCACGGCTGTTTTCATCACGGTTTGCATTTTCTCCAGGGGAGCTGATCTCTGTCAGCTGGAGATCAGTTGTGAAAGCGGGAGATCTCCAGGCCCCACCTGGAGGCTGGCAACCCTAGAAATGGGCCTTTCAAGATGGCTCTTCTTTGTAGCAGAAAAATGTTGGGGATTGCAGCTTGGCTGGCTCTCCAGCTGCAAACCCCCCCCCCCCCGCTTTTCCCTCTGCAAAGTGAATTCGGGACCCATCTGAAAAGCTGGCAGGGTAATTCCATTGCTCTCTCCTCCCCTCGAGAGCGCCCGCGGCTGGGGCAGTGCTGTCTGGTGAGTTACTTTGGAGTAATTGCCCATGGGGGTCAGCGGAGAGGGGCCCACGTGTGATGAATTATTCACAGGGGTGTCGGTAAGTGCAGAATTAATCCCCTTCCCTCCAGCTGCCTGCCGCAGTAAATTATCACCCCTAGTCATGCGGGAAAATGCCGTGGAATTCATTTAGCTGATTATTGTTTTGATCTAGGAACTGTTATTTCTCTCCCCCCCACCCTCGCAGTCCTTCTCCTCGCCCCCCCCCAATGTATGTCCAAGTGAGAAAGGGAACAAAAAATACCGAGTGACAGGCTTGGCTTCTTAATTTTACCACTAAAGCTTGTTCCAACAAATTGGCCCGAGCAACAATAAAGATGGACGAGTTTGTCACTAGAGGGATGAAGAAAAGGGAAGGGGAGTGTTGGAACGGACGTTAGGGTTCCAGCCATTTCAGCTTTGCGACGGGCTGGACCGTTACCTCGTCTGTCTCATGGAAGCTCATGCTGGAATAAATGTTGTCCGTCTTTAAGGTGTGGCTGGACTTCGCCTTCACCTTTAAACCCATCAGATCCATCAGGACCTGTCAGCGTCTGGTGTGACCTTGGGTCAGTTACAAGTTCTTTCGGAGCTGTTCTCTCAGGAGCAGTCCTCGAACAAGCTCCCTCAGCCCCACCTACCTCACACAGGGTGCAATCTCTTCTCTTCTTCTGCTCCCCTCTCTAAACCCCGCCCTCCCCAGGCTCCTCCCCCCAATTTTTCAGGTATTTCCCCATCCAGACCTGGCAACTCTCAGCCAGTCTTTTATTAGTACCCATAGACCAACAGGTCATAAGCATAACAGAAAGATTATATTAATATACACACATTGTGAAAAGCGTAATTGTTCTATGTGGGAAACATAACTATGTGAATGTTAACTGCATGATTTTAAACCGGAGAATGATGCAGACCCTAGACCTCAGCGAGGTATAATGCCACAGAGTCCAGCCAGTCAGTCTTTTATTAGTACTTATAGACCAACAGGTCATAAGCATAACAAAAAGATTATATTAATATACAGATATACAGATTATATTAATATACAAACATTGTGAAAAGTGTAATTGTACTATGTGAGAAACATAAATATGTGAAAGTTAACTACATGATTTTAAACTGGAGAATGATGCAGACCCTCGACCTCAGTGAGGTGTAATGCCACAGAGTCTACCTTCTGAGGCAGACATTTTTTCCAGGAGGATCTGATCTCTGTGGTCTGGAGATCAGTGGTAATTCCTAGAGATTTTCAAGCCCCTCTTGGAGGTTTGCAACCAGGCCCGTAGCCGCGGTAGGGCATTTAGGGGCGGTGCCCCCTCACTCATGGCCCTTGCCCCACAACCCCCACTGTGGGAGTTGTGCCAGCGAGTAAGGAAGGACTGTTCCTTTTTCCACCTGCCTGCCAATGGGATCTCTCAATCTCTCCCCCCTGCTCCCCCGCCCCCCAGATTTTCCAACACCCCACCATCCAAACATTTTTGGCTACACCCCTGTTGGCAACTCTAGGAACAGGTAAGACCAGGTTTGTTCCCCTCCCCTCCAACCCGTTGTCATCTTTTCCGAGCACCAGAATTTTGCCCACAGGCTTTGCTCTGGCCAATGGCCCCTCTTCTGCTCCCGTTGGGCCCCGAAAGCCCGAAGGCTGCCGCCGACGCAAAAATACACATTTGCATTCGCCTGGCGCGTGTGGGAGCGTGCCCAGCCGGGCAGACACCGCTGCGCCGTTCAAAGCCATTCAGGGGGTCTTAATTAATTCTAAGTGAAACAAGAGTCCCGAGCCTTCGTTTCTTTTCTTTCCCCCCCTCGCTCGCTGTCACTTTAAACCGTTTTAACCGAGGAACACGATTCTTCCCCCCTCTGCTTTTAAAAAAGACCACACAAAAGGAGCTCTTGGCAGATAACAGTGGAATTAAACGCTGTAGTCGGGGGCCACGTGACGTGGCTGCGTGGAAGTGACAGGTGCTGACAGATTGCTAAGTGCGCAGGGGGGGCCGCTAGGAGCGGGAGCGCATAAATTAAACCGAGTGCACACAATGGCCTGTGTGGGAAGGCGCTATTCTACGATGCGGGATGGGCGGGATCTTTGGCAGGGCGTCCCTGCCGTTTGCATGCCAGAGCCTCCTCCCGTTCTGCCTATTGACTGAGGTGTCCCGTTGCCGGCTTTGACTGAATTCACACATCTAATGCAAGGGCCTTATCTGAAGTCTGGGGACGTCTTTTATCAGCACGCTGTCACCTAGGGGTGTCAGCACCAGGTGGCACCTGCAGACCTCCCGTTATCGCAACACATCTCCAGGCCATCACTGATCTATAGGGTGCACTAGCACTCTATTCTACATAAATCCTAATCTTCACAAGTTCATCTTACTTTTTTTGGTACCAGGAAGGGGTCCGAGTTTGGAGGTTGGTTTCACAGGCTTTTCACTTGTGCGGTCCAGGGCATTGTCCCAAGTCATGAAGATGTCACGGTTTCAGGGTTTTTCTCTCTCTAGTCCACTTCACTGTTCACCTTCCCATGCTTTAGGGGGGAGGGAATTCCTGAGGGGAGTGTGTGGGTTGAGTGTTTGATTGTAGTCACCATAATTATTCCTCAGGTTGCACCCCTCGGCCTGTTCTCATGGGACTTGGCCTTGGAGACTCTTTCGCTAGGCTGGAATAGATAAGGCACCGTATATCTGTCAGGGTTGTCATAGAAACGCTAGAGGGCGAATGTGGACGTATGCATGGGGTGTGGGGATGTATTGGGTTTTACCTATAGCTTCTGATTTTTGCTCGCTTTCTTTAGTCCTGACAAAGACCCAGTTCCTGAATGGAAGCATATCTCTAATAAAGCATCACTGCCAAGAGTGTTGTGGAGAGTATCTTAACTGGGAATCTGACAGAAGGGCTTTAAAGGTTATAACCAGCACCTTGAACTGAACTGGTGACGGGTGACCCATGAACACTCTGTGCCCAAAAGGCCCCCAAACATCTGCATTCATCCCCAGGGGTCATTTCGTAGAAAAAGAGGTGCAGGAGCTCATTAGCATAACTCATTAGCATAACTCATTTGCATATGCCACACCCCCTGCCATCACCGGAAGTGTGTCAGAAGGCAACACCCACCACTCAGGCTCCACTGGACTGTTTTGGATTGCTAGCTATTGGGGGGGGGGACGTGCAGATCTGTCCTCGCAGAGGAGGGAGAGCTTGTACCTGAATAAAACTTGGTCTTAAAGGTGCCACTGGACTGTTTTGGATTGGGGGGGGGGCTCTGCAACTTACCTGGCTGCTTCTTGCTCTGACTGAGGGCTGCTGGGAGCAGGGGGTGGGGCTTGTTGCCTGTGCCCGCCCCCCTGGGCTCTTTACTGCCGGAGCTCCGCTCCTGTGCGCTCCTGCAGGAAATGACCCCTGCTCATCCCTGCTTTCAGTTCTGTGTATCCATCATTCTTTGGCCAAATACATGTGTACAAAAGCCAAAGAAATTACTGGGGCCAATATGCCTGAAGGAAATGAGAGCCTAGTTCCTGGATGGCGCATAAGTCTCTGTTATTCTCCAGTGGGTTTCTTCCTGCCGCTACCTCCCTACTCGGTGTCGTTAGAAAGCTTGATCGCTGCGGAAATTACACAGGAGTGATAGAATTACTAGTGAATGGGAACGGATTGAGCGGGGCTCGCTTTGTTAGACAGCTAATGAGTGGGAGACAGTCGAGCCCTGGCAGAGTGGAAGAGAGAGAGAGAGGGAGAAATTAATGTCTTTGTGGAAGAAAATTTGTCAGTTTCTTCTTGCTTCTCCCAGAGGAGAGTTTAAAGGGGAGAGCTAATTGAATTAGGGGCGTGTGCCACTTTGATAGCCAACCTGCTCGGTCTCCGTCAAGACAAGGAAATGGCTGTCCACCTTTCAACCCGCCCCAGGACACCATCTGGTCACTGACCTGCCGGAACTGCAAGAATAAACATCTGCGTTTTGCATGAACTTGTGCCCAGGGAGCATGTGTGTATCTGTGTGCATGCGGGCACAGCGATAATTGCCATTTGGTAGCCCAGGGCCTCGTCTAATTGGTGTTTCGAGGTCGCAGCCTTGAAGCCTATTGAAATGCATGCCCTCAGAAGACCGTATCAGATGGTTTTAACGAGGCCCGGATCGGCAAGACCGCTACGGCTTTATCGGAGCCTCTTGGCATGTCTCTTATCCAGTGCTATCCCTCTTCCCGAGCCCCGATGCCAGGGGCTTAGGGGAACGGAGCAAAAGAAGGCCCTTGGGCCGCTGGGTTCCAGGCTTGCCTGCTTTCTCATTACGACCCTAATGAGGCATCAGTGTCTACAGTCACAGATCAGAAGGTGGCGATGGCCACTTTGCCGCCATCCATCCGCAGCGGCCAATTTAGCCAGTTAGGAACGGATTACCGGCAAATGAATAGACCGTCACGCCCGGGCACGCCGATGAATGCCGAGGGGGAGCCGGGTGAGATTGTCTTCCTAGGGAAATGATTGGAGTTTGCACTAACTGAATCCTCTCCAATTAGCGATCCACCCCTGTTTGGTTGAGGAGCATCTGCCCGCTGTCGTTTGCTTTGTGCTGTTGATGAGGCCTGCCGATAGCAGCCGCTTTGTAATTGATCCGTTACAAACCATGCCAGGGTGGAAAGGCAATCCTTCCCGAGCCAGTGAGAAGCACACTGCAGTCTTATCAATGATAAGAGGCAGGCCGTGACTGAAGAACAGCATAGCATATTCTTTCAGGTTTGGAAGAAAGGTGCATCTAACCATTGATTACCGCTCCACCTGTTTCTGTCCGGGTTGAGGCTTAGGGTCATGATGGAAACATGTTTTTGTTTACGTGGGTATCTGGCAATTAGCATGCGTGTGTCTAAACACATGAAGCTGCTGTCTGCTGAGTCAGGCCCTTCATCTAACAAGATCGATCTTGTCTACTCTGACCGGCAGCAGTTCTGCAGGGGCTCAGGGGAAGATCTTTCGCATCTCCTTTTAACTAGTGAAAATCAACCCTGACTGTTCCCTGAAAGGCCAGATAATGAAACTGAAGCTCAAATACTTTGGCCACCCAATGAGAAGGGAGCACTCACTGGAGAAGACCCTGATGCTGGGAAAGATGGAAGGTCAAAGAAGACGGGGACGGCAAAGGATGAGATGGTTAGACAGTGTCATCGATGCAACGAAGATGAAATTGAGCCAACTTCAGAGGACGGCGGAAGACAGGAGGGCCTGGCGGGAGCTGGTCCATGGGGTCGCGAAGAGTCCGACTCGACTGTGCGACTGAACAACAAAAACCCGGGATTGAACTTGGGACCTCTGGCATGCAAAAGCAGATGCTCTACCATCGAGACACAGTTACAATGGTAAACTTGATTAGTTTTTTGTGTTTTGTTACGGTTCTCATTTTGGTAGTGGTGGAAAGTGCTGTTCAGTCATGGCTGACTCATGGCGGCCCCGTAGGGTTTTCAAGGCAAGAGACGTTTCAGAGGCCGTTTGCCATGGCCTGCCTCCGTGTCGCGACCAGTGTTCCCTCTAAGCTGAGTTAGTGTGAGCCAGCTCACAGTTCTTTAGCCTCCGGCTCACACATTTTTGTCTCCGCTCAGGAAGGAGGTGGCTCCAGAGCAAACTAATTTATGCAGCAGCCAAATCGCTCGCTCACCACTTTCGTGCCGGTAGCTCACAAAGTAGAATATTTGCTCACAAGACTCCACAGCTTAGAGGGAGCGTTGGCTCGCGACCCTGGTATTCCTTGGCGGTCTCCCATCAAAATGCCAACCAGGGCCGACCCTGCTTCGCTTACGAGATCGAGCTGGCCTGGGGTATCCAGTTCAGAGCGGTGCTCATTATAGCTGCTGCTAAATTGTATACTCTGTATCCTTTTCAGCAGCTGCTGCATTTCTTTGAGTTTTATTTATTCACCACACGATGCTATGCTGGCCACCAGGGATCGCTCCAACATCCTCGCCACCGCTGCCGCTGCATCGCCATGCCACCTCTACCACTAGTGCTCTGCCGCCGCCGATGTTCTTAAAATTGTTCTTCTTTCTTCTGACTAATGTTTAGTGCTGTCAGTGATGCTTGTACTGTTAGTTGGATTGCCCTCTTGTGTGAGCATGGTTTTATCTATGGGCAGCCACCTCAAAAGTCTCCTAAGAAAAGATAACTTCAATAAATATTAGCGTAGCCAAGTTCTCGTTCAGCTGGAGCTGCTCTGCCATTGACAGCTGCAAGCTGAGCGGAAAAGTATCCAGCAGGGTCCTTTCTTGCTATGCAGATGAAGAAGTTAAGCTGTTTAAAGACACAGCAGGGAAAAGCTGGGAAGGCTAGAGGAAATATAGAGGGTGTGTGTGTTAAATCTTGCAACACCTTGCCAAGTGAGAGTGCCAGAGCGGGAGGGAAGGCATTCTGCCAAAACCAAGAAAAAAGCAAGACCAAGGTAACTGGGAGATAATATTTCTCTGGGGATAAGTGATCCCCAAAGAGTAAACAACACGTGGAATTCACTGCCAGAGGAAGTGGTGGCAGCTACAAGCACAGACAGCTTCAAGAGGGGATGGGAGACACATATGGAGCAGAGGTCCATCAGTGGCTAGAAGAAGAAGAGGAGGAGGAGATTGAAGAACAGAAGAAGAAGAAGAGATTGGATTTATACCCCACCCTTCACTACCCAAAGGTGTCTCAGAGTGGTTTACAAACCCCTTTCCCTTCCCACTCCCCACAACAGACACCCTGTGAGGTAGGTGGGGCTGAGAGAGCTCTTCACAGAAACTGCTCTTTTTTCAAGAACAGCTCTTATCAGAACTACGGCTTGCCCAAGGTCATCCAGCCAGGTGCAAGTGGAGGAGTGGAGAATCAAACCCGGTTCTCCCAGATTAGAGTCCATGCACTTAACCTCTACACCAAACTGGATTTATACCCCGCCCTTCACTACCCAAGGAAGTCTCAGAGCAGCTTACAAACTCCTTTCCCTTCCCCTCCCCACAACAGACACCCTGTGGGATAGGTGGGGCTGAGAGAGCTCTGACAGAAACTGCTCTTTTTCAAGGACAGCTCTTATCAGAACTACGGCTTGCCCAAGGTCATCCAGCAGGTGCAAGTGGAGGAGTGGGGATGCAAACCCGGTTCTCCCAGATTAGAGTCCGTGCACTTAACCACTACACCAAACTGGCTCTCCACATTAGCCACAAAGTGAAATGGAACACTCTGTCTTGGGCAGTGATGCTCTGTATTGTTGCTCCTTGGGGGGGGCAGCAGTGGGAGGGCTTCTGGAGTTCTGGCCCCGCTAGTGGACCTCCTGATGGCACCTGGGTTTTGGCCACTGTGTGGCCCAGAGTGTTGGACTGGATGGGCCATTGGCCTGATCCAACATGGCTTCTCTTACGTCCTCGTTCCTTGCACTTTGAGGGCATTTCTACATAGGTGATGGCAGTGTTGCAGCTGGTATAGCCATTAAAAAAATGAAAATGTCTCCATGCTCAAGGAAGTGTTCTCATGCTTTCAAAATCAGCAGGCTGAGCAAGAGTTCAGATGTATTAAGCTTTTCCTGGCCTGTGGATGTAAAAGCTAACTCAGGGGCATGTGTCATCTGAATGGGAAGTTGCATTCTTAGATATCACAGCTTGGCTACTGAAAAAACAAGTCCTACACAAATACGTCTAATCTTTTTAGAACGCTATCTACTCTAGTAAGTATATTTCCCCCCCTAAGGGGGGGAAAATCCAGCACTTGTACATATCAGAACAGGGGAGAAAAAGGAGAGTCTTACCTATATCTTTCTAAACTCCAGAAAGATTTTTTAAAAGGTCTGGACAACAATTAAAAAATATGGGCAACTTTAGAAAGAAATGTTAAGGTACGCAACATCAATTTGAATCATTTCGTACCACAATCTATATGCATTTTTTAAAAATGCAGGGGCAAAACATTGCAACTCAGAGCAAGTCATATACGTACTCTAGTAAATATCTTAACTTCAGTGTTCCCTCCGAGCTGCGTTAGTGTGAGCTGACTCACCGTCTTTTAGCCTCTGGTTCACAGATTTTTTTTGTCTCAGCTCAGGAAGGAGGGCTCCAGAGCAAACTCACTGATGCAGCAGCCAAATCGCTCGCTCACAACTTTAATGCCAGGAGCTCACAGAGCAGAATTTTTGCTCACAAGACTCCGCAGCTCAGAGGGAGCATTTGCTCAGCATCCTGTTTTGTTTTTATACAGAGGCCGGACAGTTTCCTGACTCCATCTACCACAAACGTCCTTCCCCTCTTGGATCCTGAGTTGGTGGATAAACTCGGGAACATCAAAGAGCCATGGGCGAGGCCTTCTTCCAAGACCGCTGTCGTTTCCGTGCCCAGTGATGAGGTGAGCATCTCTCCCTTTTTCTGTTTTTAATCTCGTCTCCTCTCCTCCGACCACCGGAGTCCAGGGGCAGCCCCGCAGGACAGACTGCTTTGGGATGGCAGGACTCTGAAGACTCGAGATACCTTTTGTAACGTTTGCGACATTTGCCAATCTATGAGCAGAGTACAGTGGAGGCAAGCGGAGGCCTGTGGCACAGACCAAAACTGCTAGGTGTGGTGTAGTGGTTAAGAGTGGCAGGACTCTAATCTGGAGAACCGGGTTTGATTCCCCACTCCTCCACATGAAGCCAGCTGGGTGACCTTGGGTCAGTCACAGTTCTTTCAGAGCTCTCTCAGCCTCATCTACCTTATAGGGTGTCTGTTGTGGGGAGAGGAAGGGTAGGTGATTGTAATAGAGAAAAGTGGAGTATAAAAACCGGCGGCTGCTGCTGTTCCTCCTCCTCCTTCTCCTCCTCCTCCTCGTACTCCTCCTCCTTCTCCTGCATTCATGTCCTGAAGTAATAGACCATGATCCCTCTTATCTCCATCCCAGCCCTCAGACTACTTTTGAATCTGTCAGTACCCAAATACACACTGAGGGTGCGTTCAGATGGGCCATTTGAGCTGGTATACGTGCCGGTTAGAAACGGACTGTTTATGCTTGATCACACAGCCAACATCTGCCTCCCGTCCCTAGCCGTTGCCAACCGGCTCAACCCCCCTTTAAACCGGAGTATTTTGCTACCAGGTTCCCAAGTGGTGTTTTCCTGGTGCTCCGGTTCTAGCCGCATGTTCCTGACGTGTCATCGCGCCTCCGCCAGTGTACAGCCACTTCCACTCGGAAGCCCGAGGCTTCTGCTTTTCGTCCGCCATTTTATTTTAGCGTCGGCGATATGCGCTTGGGCGAAGCTTCGCCCCGGTGTTAATAAAACAGGAAAAAAACGTGCTTAGTTTTAGGCTTAGACGAGTCTGGGACCTCACGGAGGTCAGTTTCGTTGTAAAAGTTTAAAGGGAAGTGTTCGCTTCAGGGCATGCTTTTGGCGTGAAGATTTCAATCATATGGATGGGTGCCTATGCGCATGTGCAAACAGTGGGGGAAAAACCCCACCGATGCGCGCTGTTGCACACCTGTAGT